TAATATGTATATTTCAATTATGTATATTATACATCATATATATAAATTATAGTAATATTAATATGTATATTTCAATTAACTGAAAATTAATATGTACATTATATATATTATATCAATTGAAATAAATATATATATATTTATATATAAATATTAATATTTTTAAAAATATATTTATATATTTATAAATATATTTATATAAATTTATATATATTATAAATTATAGTAATATTAATATGTATATTTCAATTAACTGAAAATTAATATGTATATTATATATATTATATCAATTGAAATAAATATATATTAATATTTTTTAAAAATATATTTATATATATTTATAAATATATTTGTATAAATTTATATATATATTTATTCCAATTTTGTTTTATAATATGTATATTAATATAGATTAATTTGTATATTTCAATTATACATATTATATATATTATATCAATTGAAATAAATATATATCTTTATATAAAAATATTAATATGTTGTTTAAAATATATTTAAATATATATAAATATATATAAATGAATATATTTATATAAATAAATAAATATATACATTTCAATTTTGTTTTATAATATGTATATATATATATTAATATATACAATATAAATATATATTAATATACATATTATAAAATAAAATTAAAATAAAAAATAAAAAATATTATATAAATAAATAAATATTAATATATAGAAACATAGCCAGTATATATTTAAAAAATTCCAAGAAAATTGTTTATTATAAAAATATTTTAAAATATATTTTAAAAATACCTCTAAAAATAATCTAAAAAATATCTACAATAAAAGTTTTTTATATGCACACTTACAGTAAAGTTTTTAAAAAATATTTCGAAAAACAGCTAATTCAAACGGAGCCCTTGTTTTTTCTAACATTGTCCGGTTTTTTTTTTTTTTTTTTTTAAAGCACGAGATGTAAGAGTGGAAACCAAAAAGACAAAACGGAAACAGCAGTGGTAACTGCTTCCCCTCAAATTATCAAAAAAAAAAAAAAAAAAAAAAACTGCTTCTCCTCAAGTGTACTTGCTAGATCCGTATGGTAAAGCTTTAAAGTTACCTGTCTTAGCTATGGTAAGAGTTTCGGACACAGAAGTTAGTGGCCTTCCTTCCGAAGTCCTTTGTTTTTGGGATCCACCAATCCGGACTGATGGTGGGATCTTGTCTGTTGTCTTTAATGCTGCCGCTTAATGCTGTCTGAAGGCCTTAATATTGTTGAAGTGGATTTTATTGTCTACCAGTTGATTGTTTGGAGTTTGGTGGTCTCTCAGGCTATGTTTTCAGAACCGGACCGGATATCGACTCGACCGAAGTCAAGGGTCAGGGGTCAATGGGTTCGACCGGGGGTCGATAGAGGTCGAACCGGATGACGTCATAAATAAAAAATATTTAAAAATTAAATTATTGTATATAAAATATCCAATAACATATTGATATTAATAAAGGTATATTCATATATATTTGATGTTTCAAATATATTTAACAAGAAAATACAAAGAAATTAGAACAATCAAGTAACAATTTATATTATTTAATAAACATTAACAAGTTTAGAATTAAAATTATGGATTTAATTGAAAAATAACATCAAATTTTAGGACAATATTTATAAAGTATGAAATATTTGAGGTATATTAATAAGTTTTCACAATTTAGGGGGCCAAAACATAATATTAAAAAAGTTTGAACTTTTTTTACAAAAGCTCCTGTTGGACCGGTTTTTCCGGTTTTGCACCGGTCCAACCCGGTCCAACCCGGTTTTTGACCGGAGTTGACCGGGTCTTGAATCTCCCGGTTCTGATGACCAACTCGGACCGGACACTTGACCGGTTCCCGGTTCAACCGGTCGGACCGGCCGGTCCGGTCCGAGTTTGAAAACACAGCTCTCAGGTTTCCGACAAAGATGTTCGAAAGCTCCCAAAGGAGGGAGATGCACACTTCCCAATAGAGAGAAAATTTTGAACTCAGAGATAGGATACGGTATGATACTACTCCCTCCGTTCCTTATTAGATGGCCTGAATAACTAATTCTCTTAGATTAAGAAAGTTGGTTATTTTCTAAAAGTCAACAAAAGTTTAACTTTACTTCTCAAAATTACCCTTTATCTCTCTTCATCTTTTCAACTACTTTTATTGTTAATGCTACAAATACTGCATTTAATTATTTAGAGTTCCAATTCAAGAAAGTTGAAAGGGTAAGCAAGGGTAAATTTGGAAAAAAGTTCATAAATGCTTTCTTGATATCATAAAATGACAGATAAAAAGAAACAATGGATTAGGACATCTAATAAGGAACGGAGGGAGTATGTGTTTATTAGTTTTCCTAGTATAAGGCAACTATACGTTGAATAATACACTGCTCAAATGACAAAACAGGGAATTTGGTGGGGTGCTGTAGCTGAACTCTTTGCCATTGTTTTGTTGCACAAAGAAGGAAACAAGTCGGTCTGGTGTCAAGTACAAAGCGGATGAGGAAAACGATTTACGGTGGTCCCCCTTCTGAAACTTTCGTCAGCGACAAAAATTTTAATTCTTTGCAATTATTTAACAACCACCCACGTGCAATAATTTTAAGTTTGACTAAGACCAGTCATCCATCTTTATTTAATTAATTATCTTCGAAAATTTTAATCATCAAATGATCTAAAGTTTCTGACAATTTCACTAACTTCCCCTGAAGTTTGCAAAATTGCAGTACACAAGCCTCTCTAAGATCAAGATTTGATAACAAAATTAGTCTAATTAAAAAAAATTAACATTAAAAGTACTTTAAGGAAGAGATGAAGCTTTTATTTCAAAAATAGATTAATCTTTTCTATACTAACAGATATTCACTCTCAGCGTTGGATGAATGGCAATTATGCAAAATTTGAATTTGAAATTCAGTTTTTGTATATATGTCATGAATCTAACAGTGATAGTGTATACACTATCAGTATATATTAGATTTATTCTTCAAAAATACCCCTTTTAAAAACTATACTAATAAATTAGACAACACAAGTAAGCAATAAAATTATACTAATGATACAACATTCAATAAAACAGACAGTCATGTTTTTTGACATGATTTTTGTTATGATTCTTGTGATTTTAAATAGAATTTTTTTTGAATTTTACCTTTCTTTTCCCTCCAATCTCCTTTGCTAATATCAAACAATTAAGTAATTAGAGCACTAATTAGTAACTAATTAATGAAAATAGCCATTAGTTCTATCAATTTATCAATCTATGAATTAATGAAAAAAGAAGTAATGAAAGAGAAATTTATCAATTTATTAATTTGATTTTGACTTTTTAGTAGTAACCGCTAGTTTTAATAAATAAAAAAAATAATGGTGAGACATTAGACTAAACCATAGCTCAAATGTGTGATTATAATCATAATTAAATCCTTTTGCTGTGTGTTTATAGATCAAATATAAATTTTAATTAATCGCTTTTTAAAAGTACTTCTATCAGCTTAACAAAAGCATCGTGATTCCAAACAGGCTCTAAATCTATTTTATACAGGTAACTTTTGAAGGTTAAACATCTCACACCAAACACTTGCTAATTTTCTAAAGGTATCTATGACTAGGTGGATGCCATAGATTACTGTGCGAGAAACAGAAGAAAAAGACAACGACCTAAGAATCAATTCCCTTCTAGAAAAGCATCTCTACCTGACAGAAAGTCCATAGATTAAGAAGTAAACACAAAATTGATAACAAGCCTGCAATTATAAACTTTGGAACAGGTGAGGAAGTAACTCTACCTCTCCTCTGTCCTCTCTTTTAGAAATGGAGATTACTTTTCCTGCTTTTCTTGTAAGCATCCTCTTCTTTTTTCTTCTATGGAAGTTTAATAGGCTATTCATCAAAAGTTCCAAGAGAACTGATAATCCCAGAAAACCCCCAGGGCCATGGAAGATTCCTCTGATTGGAAGTATGCACCATCTAGCTGGTTCTTTGCCACACCTTGCTCTAAGAGACATGGCTAAAAAATTTGGACCCATCATGCATCTGCAGATGGGAGAAATATCTACAGTGATTATATCAGCAGCACAGGAAGCAAAACAAGTGCTGAAAGTTCATGACATTGCCTTTGCAGACCGACCAGAACTTCTAGCTTCTAAGATACTTGGTTACAATAACTTGGATATCGCCTTTTCACCTTACGGTGATTACTGGAAACAGATGCGAAAAATCTGTCTCCTAGAACTCCTCAGTCCCAAGAGCGTGCGGTCTTTTGGCAGTCTCCGGGAGGATGAGGCCTCGAAGGTGATTAGATCCATCAAGTCATCGTCAAACTCGCCAGTCAATGTTACTGAAAAAGTCTTCTCTTTTACGAATGGCGTAGTCTGCAGAGCAGCTTTCGGAAGGAGCTTCGGGCACCAAGATGTTCTGATACCGCTGATAAATGAGGCAATTTTAGCAGGCGGAGGTTTCGATATAGCTGATTTGTTTCCTTCGCTAAAATTCCTTCATTCTTTGAGTGGTTTGAAGCCAAAACTGCTAAAGCTGCATCACGAGATTGGCCAGCTGCTTGAAAACATAATCAATGAGCACAAAGAGAAGCAAACAAGTAATTTAGTTGATTCCCAATCGGCAGAGGAAGATTTAGTTGATGTCCTATTAAGACTTAAGGAAAGAGGTGACTTCAATATTTCAACAGACAGCATCAAGGCTGTTATTTGGGTAAGTATAACTTAACATATCACAGACACCTCAAGCAAGTTACCCATTTCATCATATTTTAAGTAACCATTCTCTCTTGAACTGCAATACAGGACGTTTTTGCAGCTGGGACCGAAACCTCTGCAGCCACATTAGACTACGCAATGGCAGAGCTGATTAGAAACCCAAGTGTGATGGAAAAGGCCCAAGCTGGGCTGAGACAGGTCCTCGAGGGGAAGGAAACAGTACAAGAGACAGACTTGAAGGAATTGAATTACCTAAAAGCAGTGATCAAAGAGACTCTGAGGCTGCACCCTCCTCTTCCACTGATACTTCCAAGAGAATGCAGGGAGGCATGTAAGATTGCTGGTTACGATATTCCCATCAAAACTAAAGTCATGATAAATGCCTGGGCAATTCATCGTGATCCTGAAGTTTGGCCGAACCCCGAAAAGTTTAAACCGGAGAGATTTCTTGACAGTGGCATTGACTCAATAGGGTCGAATTTCGAGTATATCCCATTTGGTGGAGGAAGAAGGATTTGCCCAGGAATATCATTTGGTTCGGCAGGTGTTGAGCTTCTTCTTGCTAAGCTGCTGTACCATTTTGACTGGTCACTTCCCAATGGAACTGCAGGTCCTCAAATGCCAGACATGACCGAAATCTTAGGTGCAACTGCAAGGAGAAAAAACAGCTTGACTTTAGTTGCAACTTTTCATGATCCATCTGCATAGCTCAATACTGGTCTGCACTATTGGACACCAAAGATTATGACACTGTTTTGCTGGCCGGATGGATTCTTCATTAGCAAAACAAACACCACATGGAATCCTATGACCACAGAATATTTTATGGAAGTTACTCCATGTTTTATTGCTATAATAAACGTTTAACGTTTGTGAATTATATTGAGTCCTTTAGCGTTCAAACTTGTTTATTTCAACATGTTTTTAATCTTGAGAAAGTTTGGCTTGGATTTGTCGAGCAGAAACTAAACTACCTTTCATCGAGCTGAAATGGAATTGAGTTCAACTAGCTTGAATCGAAACCAATTTACATTATATCGACTCCCAGTTAGCCATTCTTTCAAGAGGAACTGTATAGATCACAATCCTTAGTCCTCTAGGAAACATCAGCGTTTGATTTTTAAGTTCAACCTTCTTATAGCCAAACTTCTTTGAATCAATCAGCAAATCTTGAAGCATCAATGGCATGTTGCAGCAACAAGTTCAGCAATTCAGTCTCGTCCGGAAAAAATGGAAATTTGACCAAGTGAAGGTGAGATAAGAAGTTTGCAGGCAGTGTCTCAATTTCCTTTTAGTAATTGTTATGGCTCATTAACGTGGCTTAAGGCTTGACCTCCACTGAAAAACAAGAAAAAAGGCTGGCCAAGGTACCTTTGATGCGGTAGTGGGAGTGTGAAAAGTGGATTTACTTTATGAATGAAATCCATAAAAAGAACAAGGGCAGGTTCATGATCAAACCCCCAAAATAAACAAGATTCAAACAAAAATCTAAATCTTAGGGCACACTCAAAAGAACATGGCAAAGCCAACAAACATACAATTGTGTTAAAAAATTAATATAATTATCAAAGCCTGAATAATATAGGCTAGTAGTCTAAACTTAAAAAGAAATGAAATATAATCAAAATAGGAAAACGATGCAAACTTCTTATAGCCAATCGAAAAGGATCCATGGACAGATCCATGCCAAACTACCGCGGATCTCGAAATGGACCAATCATTAAGCAAAATCTCAAACATATAATCATATGAATCCATAGACTAGTATTATAATTCACATATTTTTTTTTAATTTTCTTTTCTTCTTTTTTCTTTAAATTCCCCACATTTAATTTTTTTTTACATTTCTCAAATGCAGGAATTCAATTACTTAGTTTTGCCCATTTAAAAACAACATACTCACAGCTATCGTCACTATTTGATGCAACAGTCGATATTTGGTCAATAAAAACCCCCGGTCACTAAGCAATAACATCCAGTAGAGTATAGTTCAAGTTAATAAAATAAACTTAAAAGCACAACTATAAAACAAAAAGCCTGTTTCATATTCTAATAATATGGAGACATAAGATTAATAATTAGACCAAATCACAATAGATGACCAGACAACTATTTACAATACCCAAAAAATAAGCCAAAAAATTAAAAAAAAAAAAAGTCATAAAACATCAAATATTCACTAAAGAAGTACTCTAAATCAACACCATTTAATACTTGACACATCCATATTTATTAAGCTTTAACAATACTAAAACTTGAAATACAAGTCATTGTATATAAGGAAAAAAGAAATTAGAACAAAAGCATGAAAATTGAAAAATTTTAACCAAAATTTCACTTCATTTCACCCATAGACCATTCCCCACAATTAAGGCAACATTATCCCTAGTGTCGGAACCGGATTAATACACAAAAAGAGCACAAGAAATGAATGTAAAACTCCCCCGATATACCAGTATGTGGAGCACAAAAAGTTGAAACTGCAATCGCCATTGATATTAATTTGAATATATTGTTTCGGTGAAACCTTTCCAAAAAACAAAAAGGAAAAAAAAATACTGCAAATAAGAGTTAATACGCCACCAATAATCCTAACAAGAAAGCAATAAATTCTACACTACTACACACAACCTTCAATCCTAAAAACCAACTAAAAACGCCTAAAGGAAAATAGGAGATCAAGGGGAACCTTGTCGATATGAATGCCACAATGCTAACTCTTCCTCAATACTTGTGAGGTAACCCTCCATCCCTGTTACTCTCCCCTGCGGCCGCTCCGCAGCTCCATGTGTACCCAAGACCTCAGTGAGCAGAGTCTGCAACAAATCATGAATCGAAGGCCCAGAGGATTATTGAGATGTACCGACACCCTACTCTATGCGCTCGATCTCCTTTTCCTCCTCCTCACTCAAGCCATCTACGCTACGGGCTTGTAGGCAATGCGGTTAATGGTGGAGCGGTTCAGAATCCTATCCGCAACTTTCGCTGGCTCACGTGCAAAATCTACTGAGTGCTCATAAAATCATCGGTCTCGGTTTTACTGTGTAGTGTACGAACTAACAAAATAGATGTAAATATTAACATAATAAAAGCAGCCACTAATATAATGATATGACAAATTTTAAGACATAAATTTCAATTAGTAAGAAAATTTTATTGTATTTTTACTTGTTATTGTGTTAGCATGATGTTCGGGGTACCTCTTTGTTGGTTAATAATTATTACTCACGCATGGGAGAACCGGTAATGGTCCTGAGCTTGTCGGTGCAGTACTGAAATAATTGCAAAGAACTAGAATCTCACTCTCACACAGCTCATGCTTTGGAAAACTAGTCATCGTCCTAAACAGGGTCTTCATATCGAAATTTCGGTAAATTTTTTTTTGGTAATTTAGAAATTGGATGTTTAAAACCAATATCTGATTACCAGCTAACCCTTTGTTTGATAAATTGGATCAGAAAACCATTAATTTGGTAATATCCAAAATTCAAAATATTAATAGTGAGTTAAAATATTTTAATTTTCTCTAAAAAATTGTCGTAACAAAATAATATCTCGTGTGTTTTTCCAATAATATTCAATCAACTTAATTCAAGCAATGCACAAAAAAAAAAAAAGGTTGGTAATTTTATGTCCTAACTCATAATCTCAATTTTTAGAAAACATTGAAACAAATAAGAACTCCAAATTAAATTGTCAAGTTAAACTCCAAAATGTCAACTTCCATCAAAATTTCATTTCGAAGTCTAGTTATAGTTATAGTTATATTAGCTAATTAGTAATTACTAATTAGCATTTAGTAAGATTAAGATTTATTCTTATATTTAGTAATATATATGACCAATGCACATATATATATACATATATATTTCAATAATTCGTTCGGTAATCAATAATTCAATAATGTATTTTTGATATACATTTTCAAACTGTTTTACCGAACATCATATTCCGATTTCTCAAATTTTATTTTATCGAAATCTGAAATTCGATTTAGATTGGATTGGATTGGCTGATTTTTTTTTTTCAAAATATTAACACCCCTAGTCCCAAGGTTGTCGGGGCAAATGCTAAAATAATTGCAATGAACCAAATTTTCCTACGTCACGAATGTCCTCAGAAGGGGACAATTCTATGGTGGTGAATCAAGTCAACTCCTTACATACGGAGATAAAATCTCTGTTTTGAAACTCGGACCGGACCGGCCGGTCGAACCGGGAACCGGCCAGATAGCCGGTCCGAGTCATACTAAAAAACCGAGAATTTAAAATCCGGTCAAAGTCAGTCAAAAATCGGGTTTGACTGGAAAAAATTGATTTTTCCGGTTCAACAGTGTTTTTTTTTAAAAAAAAATTCAAACTTTTTAATATTATGTTTTGACCCCCTAAATTATTAAAACTTATTGATATACCTCAAATATTTGATACTTTATAAATATTGTCCTAAAATTTGATGTTATTTTTCAATTTAATTCATAATTTTAATTCTAAACTTATTAATATTTATTAAATAATATAAATTGCTACTTGATTGTTCTAATTTATTTGTATTTTCTTATTAAATATATTTGAAACATCAAATATATATGAATATACCTTTATTAATATCAACATATTATTAAATATTATATATATAATATTTTAATTTTTAAATAATTTTTATTTATGACGTCATCCGGTTCGACCCCTATCGACTCCCGATCGAACCCATTGACCCCTGACCTCGACCGAGTCGCTATCCGGTCCGGTTCTGAAAACATAGGATAAAATGTGAAGCTGACAACAAGACAATCCCTGAAGTTAAGGTGTCTTTTGTAGTTGACCCTGGGAAGTAGTCCATAAATTGGGAACCAGCTATGTGCGTTTGAAAAGGGGTGGCTAGATAGCAGTAGTGTTTTAAGGACCAGGTGGTGTGGTTTGGATTCCCGTCCCGTCCACTATTTAACTGATTCGATCAGCATCTTATAAGTCAGTCATTTTTTTATTCTTACTCATCTCGCATATTAGCAGGTATTCGGTTATAGGGTACCTACTGGGATACGATCGACTCAACGGGTACCCGTCTCACCCTACTTATCATTTAATGTTTTTAGAAAATAATTTATATTCATTTAATTTTATATTTTACACATTTATCGAAGATTTAATAAAGATTTTTTTTTCTCAAAAACAATCTCCCACTAAGAAATAAACATGCGAAGAGAATACAAGAAAAAGGAAAAAAAATTAAAGAGTTCAAAATTAATAAAAGTTTGAAATAAGTAACACATTTTTTTAAATATATATTCCACATTAATTAAACTCTTTTTTATAAATATAAGATAATGGCACCTACAAATGAATCTTATAAATAAACTATAATCTCTCATATTTGTAATGCAATTTGTTCAACGAAATTGATTCTTTAGCTCCAAAAATATTATGTCATAGTATGTATATAAAAATAAAATATATAAATATAAATATATATATATATATATATATATATATATATATATATACGTGGGTGGATCGGGTACCCGAAGGTTTTTAATTGTGTGATTTTAATTTATCCCGCATCTTAGTAGGTACTTGATCCTTTTTTTGACCCAATCAAATAATACTGATCGGGTATCCTATTTTTTGGATCGGATCGGATCCGATTGGATATGTCAGATTTTTAGATTTGCAGATAATTTTGCCCACCCCTATCGGCCATGGATCGATTCAATTACTAAAGTTTGAAAGTAACATAAAATCATCAAGAACCGATCAAACCTTATGAACCGAAAAAAAAATCGAATGAACTATAAACTGGCAATTTTTGAGTTTTCTATATAATGCTTAATAAAAAAATTAAACCATACTATACTAAATCAAGCCCTAACGCTCCACAACTCAAGTGAAGCTACCATTGTCCTCTCTTTCTTACCCCCCCTTCTCTTCCTTTGGCTTCAAGGCCCTGATAGAATTTTTCCTATCCTTTCAGTCCTAAATCTACAACTCCAGAGCCCTACAAGTTTGCAAAATTGCACTCTAATCTTGAATTGGCTTGTGAGTAAAGTACTGGAAACTCCTTTTTCTTTTACCAAATTTGGGATTTTTGTTTCCTTTTATGAAAATCCGAGACCTTGGTTAGTTCTCTTCCTTTTACATATCTTTATCTACATTTTTTTCTTAGTGCTAATTAATTTTGATTGCTTTTCTTTCTTCTAGTGCTTGTCTTTCAATTTTTTTTGTTTTGCATTGTTATTAGAGATAATTGCAAAAACCTCCCCTGTGATTTCTGACACTAGCACTCACCTCCCCTCTAATTTACGAAATCTTGGGAAGAAATTAGGGCCTATTGCTGACAAAAGAGTATTTAAATTTACCTTATACCATAATTATTTGGAGAAACCTGATGAAGAAATTTTACAAAAGAAAAAATGTTACTTGTGAACAAATTGAGGAAGTAAATAAGCTAATTAATTGTGAACAAATTAGAGCTCCTACCCCTGCCATTAGAATTGACATTTCCCTTTGCATTGCTGCAGACCTGTGCAGCTATTATTGAGATTGCAGCACTAAATTGGCATCGGCTCTTCTACTGTTGACCTCTTCTTCTTTGAGACCCTCATACCACTTGAAGTACTTGTATTTTGCACAACAAAAATATAACTTGTTGGGCTTCATTTTAGTCTTAGAAATCTTCAGTATTACCTTTCGATTGCAGGTGCAATATTTGTTCCTTATTGTGAAGGATGTTGAGAAGTTCCATGATTCTCTCCTATGGCAGGAAGAAACCATGCTCTTTGCTGCAACATTTCACCTCAAGCTACTAAACTAAACTCAATCAAACCAACTGTGTTACCCCCACAAACAACTCTTCACATTGCTAATAGAGAGTTTCATGTGTCAAGTCCATCCTTTATAAGCTGGTGCAAGAACCTATAGATGTAGCTGTTTAACTAGCCGTTGCTTTCATGTTAATTTCAATCGATGCTTAAGGTGTTGTAGATGCAATAAAATGGTTTGCACTTACAACCCTTGAAATTTATTGATTCTTAATAGTCTTGTGGGATTTTGTTCTTCCTTTGCTAATTCTACTTGGCAAGTAGCACGAAAAGCAAATGTGGCACAAATTTCTCATCTCACTTCTTAAAAAAAAGTTTTAATGAGACTTTTTTCTAGCCTAGACTGAATCTATAACAGAATCCTTAAGTTCAAGAGTGATAGTGTTATTTCTTAAACTAGAGGGTAGGAGAGTGCTAGTGTCAGAAATCTCAGGGAAGGAGGCTTCTGCAATTTTCCTTTTTTATTATCTGTATGTGTTTTTTAGTGTTTACTACTCAACTGCTGACATTCTGGTAACTTTACAACTGTGAATTTGTACTTTGAATCGAGATGATATTTTGATGTTAGGTTTATGCAAAGTTCAATCTTGATTTTTCCCTCAATGAACTTTTCACTTTATTGGTATTACACCTTAACGGCAAATTAAACTGGAACATTTTTTTCAAGAGAACCAGATAAGGAGATGAAATTCGATAAAGTGATGTAGTAATCAAGTAAACTATATATATGTAGCCACTATTGTCAGAGCTTTTCTTAATAAAATATGTTTCCCTGCTGGCTACAATAATCTGTTAGCTATCAATGCTAATATCCTTTCTTTTTTCTTTTCTTGTAGCTTTATTTTGTTAGACGGAGTACAAATAATAACAAGATACTATTGTTTAAAGCAATAGGCCATAGCATACATCATGAGTTTATTAACAACAATTAATCCATTGAACGTTGGGTTCTGATTAGCATTTCATTGACCAAATCACGTTACTTAATAGGCTCAAATTGGAATTTTTTTTGGCTGATATACCATTTGGCCCCGAGATAATAGTTCCAATCTCGTAAGTTTTTAACATTGGTTGGAACTTTTAAGTGTCCGGTTGTACTTTTCTTTTCCTTTTAAAGTTGCTTGAGA